GTAAAGATCACCGTCAAGTGGCCTCAATGTACGACCTATTTTGGAGAGCCAAATCCAACAGGTAAAGACAAGTACCTATCGTCTGAAATTATATTTAAGGGCATTCATGGCTATGCCTGGGAAGTTATGCCAGAAATGTGGTGCAGACCGATTTTCTAAGCGATTCGATATAAAATGAAGGACGCCCATGAGTCGTTAGCAAGGCGGCATCCCGACTTCTCGCACCCCCCGGGAGGCACTTAACATATACCGGGCAACCGGTTTGCTTGATAATTCAGTTTATTTGACAAGATAAGTAAACCATGAGAGGAGAGAGTAAGCATGCAAAAGGAAGGGATAGAGGTGAGAACCAAAATAGGTGAATTGAAATTTCACCGAAGGACAGTAAATAATTGATAGGAAAACTAGTAGCTGAACTGTCAGAAATCAAATTTGAAGAAAATTGCCAAAGAGTCAGAAAGAGCTTGAACTGTATTCATATGCTTAATTATGAGTACCCGAATAATGCTATTAAGAAATCAGAGGCCCTGGATTTCATGAGAAGTGCACAATTAGTAAATGAAAAATGTCATTTGAGGGCTCAGTCGAAAGCAATGCTAAGGGTTAGTGGAGGCGGATGGAAGACTGAAAGTAGTCTAGAAGTCTCGGTGCTCCGACAACTCAGAAGCAAAATAAAATGCGTTCTTGATGGGACATATCAGTAAAAAATCATTCATTCGGTCATTGGGACTGGTTTCAGAGGAATCCAAACTGCTTTTGCTTCCTGAATGAGAACATAAAAGTCTAGTGCTGAAGTTAGTGACTATGGACTCAGGTAACTCGAACTGCTTTCCCATGTCGGAAGTGTCAGCGACATCATGCTGCAGCATGCGCGCGAGAGCGCATCTGGCCCTGCCACTTTTTACAGAAGTTTAAACTTAGTGACAATGCGTCGGTGTGCCCTCGTGCGTATAAATACGTGCAATGTCCATATGAAATCAACAGTCTGGGCTTGTTATACCCTGCGGCTGAAAAGATGCTCGAAAGTTTAATGGAAGAAGAATAAAACCCATTATGAAGAATGCATTTGTCCGCGCAAATCGTCGGGGGAGTAAAAATAAACTTCGCATTTGGCAACTTACATGGGCAGCGGGTTTTCCCGCGCCGTGCTGATCCATCCCTTTGGTCATCGAAATTCAAGAGCAATAGCTATAGCACGAAAATAAAGATCCACCAGCTATAATTGGCTGAAGGCGATGGCAATCATTTACGAATGATTGGCTTTGACCGTTTTCAAGGTCAAATTATTCAAGGTTGCTGAACGTTCTCTGGGCGTGAGAACTCATATCCCAAGGTTTTTTGGTAATTCAAACGAAACGCCTAAGCATGCACAAACTTTTCAACATTTTGCTGCCTTTTCCATTTACCCACGCATGCATGAGGACAGGCAGTTAGGCAGTCAACCGCCGGTCTCGTTCTCACAGGAGGGTTTTCAGGGGAGTAGTGGACACGGCGACGGGGCATGGCAGAAGAAACATAGCGATAATACATCGACACTTCATCCTCAGACGAAATTAAACAGATGAAATGAGAGTCTCAAATCTGGCGAATTGCAAAGCAATAAGAAAACGGGGAGGAAAGTGGATAAGAGTCCATCAGTCTGTGAACTAAAATTAATAAATCCCTGAGGAAATTTTGCATGTTAGTGTAGCAGACCTCCAGTGAATGTCAGCCCGTCAAGAAGGAAGTTTCTGGGTCTAGGGGAGATTAATGGTAGGCAGGCGCTCTCAAATTTCACACAAAGTTATCGTCCTTTCCGAATGGCTTTCATGTTTGGCCCAGAATAGCTTGTTCACGAACTCGTCCCTTGCAATCCTGAATTGTCGCAAAAAAATATGCATGTCGATTTTGTGTAACCGGTCAGCAGTTGTCCACGAAAAGCTGCTTATGTTGTGGTATAGCGGTTGTCGCAGTATGACCATGTGCGCAGAACTATTCCGAAGATTACATGGTGCCTATAGAGAACGTATTCGCGTTCGCCAGGTAGTGCGTAAAAATCGAAATCTACATGGTCGTTTTATATCGCCGGTGGATTTGATTATCGCATACATTTAATCCCCGACTGATCCTACTGTTGCCTTTCGAAATTTCTACGCCCTCTTTTAACCTTATACATGCACAGCTAACGTTTGAATAGTAATATATTCGATAACTGAGTACAAATACCAGCCCCCTATTCGAAAATGCTCCTGCTTACTAGTTGTATCAATGTAACCTGCAAAATAACGATAAAAATCATTCGTGGCCATTTTGCAGCATCTTCAGTTGCGAAATGAATAAATTCTAGTATCTCTTCCTGGTATCCCTCAGCACAAATGTTATTTTTTTTCGATTTTTTATCTCATGAATCGTGTCCGTCACAGAATACGCCACACTTCCTCACAATTTCTTTTAAAGAAATAGCTTGGCTAGGTTGACGTGCACGCTGTAGGCTGCCTCAGTCTCGCCGATTACCGACACTCTCCAGAATGTCGTT